AATCTTCCGCGATAAAGAGGAAGATTCATTCTCGTGAGAGAGAGAGAGAGAGAGAGAGAGAGAGAGAGAGAGAGAGAGAGAGAGAGAGAGAGAGTCAGCCAGTGTCTAACGCCGAGTTTGGTGAACTTTGAAATGGGAATGAATCTTCCGCGATGAAATGGGAATGAATCTTTCACAATAACGCGGAAGATTCCTTCTCATTTCCCTCTCTCTCTCTCTCTCTCTCTCTCTCTCTCTCTCTCTCTCTCTCTCTCTCTCTCTCTCTCTCTCTCTCTTCCACCCCCCCCCCGCGCCCATTTCTTTTTCGTTTGTTACTTTACATTTTCCTAGTGTGTTTTCTTTTTGCCCGTTTTTTTCGGACTACCGGTCCCACGTCGGTGGGTACCCCGCCCGACGCGGCGCGTTAACGGCCGCGTTCGCTTTTTCAAGCTGGGCGAGGTACTCATCTGACCAGAAATATTTTTACTCTATTTTTTTCCCATGGCCTATAGGTGGCCCAGGTACTGCTGGTTTACTACAATCATACGGTTTTGCAAAAGAGAAGAATTCTTACGGCATACTCACACTGCCCCGAATTTGCAAAATATGTGGATTTCAGAAGGTCCTATTTGAGGTTTTGGACATGGTTCACATCACACTGCTGTACCTTTTCAGATGGGACAAGGTCGCGGCCGTCTGGAGAAATGGGGATTTGGTACTTAGCTGGTCACAAGGCGTCATCCACAAATTGTGCAAGAACTTTTGTGAACGAATTATTAAAAAAAAAATTACTGTTGTACCATTTCAGATGGGACAAAGTCGCAGCCCTCCGGAGAAATGGGGAGTTGGTACTTGACTGGTCACGCGCTCCGCAAATTGTGCAAAAACTTTTGTGAACAATTTTTTGCCCTTTTTTTTTTTTTTTTTTTTTTTTTTTCTAAAAAAACTCTCTTCCTGTGCTAGTGCTGCTCATAAGAGCAGACAGCACTAGCACCGGATGGGGATGCTCCATCTATTGATCTGTCTCTTATACACATCTAGATGTGTATAAGAGACAGCTATCGTCCAAACCACCCGGCAGTTTTTTTTTTTTTTTTTAGAAAACTCTCTTCCTGTGCTAGTGCTGCTGATAAGAGCAGACAGCACTAGCACCGGANTTTTTTCTAAGAAAACTCTCTTCCTGTGCTAGTGCTGCTCATAAGAGCAGACAGCACTAGCACCGGATGGGGATGCTCCATCTATTGGTGGGGAGCGTCACCTGCTGGAAACCGGGTCCAGCGTCCCATTACATGAGAGGAATAGATTGAAAAATGCTGGAGCAAATGACCGTGTGTGACTGTGTGAGCTGCCAGCATTGATAGCCCTGCAAAAACAGGGGATTGACTGAGTAGGGCCATAAGTGCTTGCTGTTGTTCCCTTTGTATCTCTTCGCCCTCCAAGGAAGGGCGCCAGATAGGAAATTCGGGACTGATACTGTGAGCCAGCTGTTGCTTTCTCCTATTGCTGAACAATTTGCCTGTCTGACCTACTTGTAGGGACTATCCCTGCTTGCTTGAATCTGCGACTGTCATCTTTACTTGTCATCTGTACTTGTCATCTGTACTTGTCATTTGTACTTGTAGTAACCTTCTCAGGGTCGCAACCCCCAACGCCCTTGGTTGGGTTTGCCGGTTATCGTCGCCGACTTGCAGCCTGTCCCCGTTGTCGCCAACTTGCTGACTGTCCCCGCTGTCTGCATCTGATGAGCGAGCGGAATCCTTCCCCTGGGCTCCAGCGAGGGGTTCCTCGCGTGGCCAGGGATGAATGAGTCAGGAAACATGGGGAAGGCGGGTGTCAGGTGGGTGTCACGTGGGTGGGGAAAGGACAGGATATCATTTGTCGCTCAGGCCGGGATCTCAGCCAGTGACAGGGCATGGGGGGGGAAGGGGTCCGGGAACTCCGTGGGGGGGCGTAATGGGAAAATGTTAGTCCAATCCTTGAAAACCAGCCTGTAGTCCCTCGTTTCTTCTAAGTTTTTTAACCCATCCTCTTGATCCCCGCCCCATACTACTTTTGCAATCCACCCTTCCCTTTCCCCTCCCAGCCAGTCCTTGCAAAATTCCGTTATCCTTCTCTTGACATCTCTTGTTTGTTTAAAAAGATCCAGTTGTTCTTTTGCATCTAACCATCTGCGTGTGAGGTCTAGGTGAAGTTGCTGCTGGATTTGTTCTGTAATCTCTGCGCCTTCCACTCGTACTTTTTTCATGGTTACAGTGCATCTTTGCCACCAAAGTGCCCACATCACTGCCCTTCTTCCTATTCTATACATGTTTTCGGTGAAGGGCGTGGTAGTCTCTGATTGGGGCCAGTATCCGGTTAAAATGGTTTGCCATGACCAGGGTCAGGGAATGTTTGGTTCCATCTTCCGCCAAATACGGTCCCACCATCTCCATATGAACTGGGCGATCGGACACTGCATGAAGATGTGTTCAATGAATTCTGCCTTCTTGTGGAAGGGGAAGAGGCTTTGGCATCGCTGGCACCATGGGAGCAGCAGGCCTCTGTGTTCAAGGTTTGTCTGGTCAATCAACCAATCGTTAG